TCGCAAATAAAACAAAAGACGCTTACCCGTGCGGAACACCTGGTCTTATTATTCTTTTACTTTTTCAACGGTGTCCATTTTTATCTTTCCTTAGTTCATATTTTACTCTATTTTTATCGAACTATAGCTTTGCTGACACTTTGGTGTTCTCTTGTTTTTTCAACTCATTCAATGTTTTCTTTGGGGTTTGTAAAACGTATTTAAGTCATAGAAATCATACAACTGTGTGCTTGTTGTATGTGTGTTGTGCATATCTTTAATACATATAAAATTTAAGTAGAGGTATTCTGTCTACGATTCCTGGTATAATGCCTTAATAAAGTACGAGTTCAAAATCATATCTTCAATAACCGGAAACCGTAAGTTTCTGTGGATGATTCACAGTTAAGGGGAGGAAGTTATTTCTTGTACATTTCATTATCACTAGCTGAAAGTTTTCCTGTCTCGTTGTCGTCCCGTTTTATGCGAAAAGTCCATTGGCCTTACACAACGGGACAACGTATGATGGAAAAGATTAACGCCATCCTGGTTTCCGATATTAACTTCTGAATGGATTGTGTCCGGTTTTTAAAACTAGTAAATGTTAGACTAGCGACATCAAATTAGCTTTCTTTGGCACATGTTATTTCTACACTAGGTTTCTAGGCAGTCGTAGAATATTCATAGACACAATAAGTCAATATTATAAATGTTTGTACTCAATCTACTTACGATACTGAGTTTAATCAGTACAATGAGGCGCAATGTTCTGTTTATGTTTGTGCTTTACATGTCGATTAAATGCATGATCCTTTTACACAAAAAAAAAGAAATTGCAAATGCTCAGAATAAGACCCATCAGTCCGTTATACGTGTTTGGTTGTGCAAAGAAAAAGTATTACCTTGTTGAAAAGTGTTTTCAAGTAAACAAATTGAATGCATGAAAATTGAGAATTTAGTTGCACAATCATTTATTCCATTATAAGGGTCATTATTCAATCTTTATTAATTGCAGTCCATTTTTATAACGAAATTTTCTTGAACGATATTTTCAATGAACGTTTATTTTAGATAACAGCCTAATCTCTGATTGTTCTATACTCACTAATTCATTTTCATGAAATGATGTACTGACACACTTATAATTTTTATATGAATAAAAGCATGATAAAAATGACGTAATTTTTACATATAATATTTTTTCCTGATGTCTTTTCTTGAAACATGTATAGCATTCCTCGTACGATTAGAGTATTGTCCTCATTTTGCTCCCATTATTATTAATAATGATAATATACAACATTTATATAGCGCCCTATATAATTTGTAAAATTACTCTAAGGAGCTTTACAACATATGGNTTTATGTCCCTCTTGAACTTGGCCAGGGTATTCGACTTCCTAATAGCAGATGGTAAGCTATTCCACAACGTAGCCGAAACCCTCCCAAAGCATCTGTTTCCGTAGGTCACAGTACGAGATTTTGGGACACACAACAAAGATTCTGACTCCGACCGCAGTGATCTTGACGGCTGATACAGGGTAACAAGTTCCTGTAGGTACTGAGGAGCTGTTCCATTCAGTGCCTTGTATGTGTATACCAGAATTTTGTACTGCGACCTGTATCGTACAGGTAACCAGTGCAACGAATAAAGCGCAGGTGTGATGTGCTCTCTCTTTCGAGTACGAGTAACTAGCCGTGCTGCAGTGTTCTGGACCCTCTGCAGACGACTAGTTAGTTTGTCAGATATACCACAGAGCAGGGCGTTACCATAATCCAACCGAGAGGTAACAAGGGAATGCACCAAAATCTTGCATGCATCTGCAGTTAGAAACTGCCGAATACAGCCGATGTTCTTGATCTGGTAGTAACAGGATTTGGCAATAGCGTTCACTTGTTTCTCCATGTTCAGAGAACTGTCAAAGTATACCTCTAGGTTTTTAACAGCTGGAACAGTCTCAATAGTTCTGGCACCAACCTTGAGCTGGAGAGTCATTGTTTGCTGACACTTAGGGGAAAAGACGACTAGTTCCGTCTTTTCCTGATTGAAGCATGTTGGCGTTCATCCAGATATTGATATCTGTCAGGCAAGCTTCCAGACTATTACATCATATTCGTCAGCATACGTGACACTTGAAAACAATATTTGACTACGTCATGATGTAATTGAACGCATCAACTATAATCTTCATCCTGATGTCTTTTCTTGTACCTAATGTGGGTCTTATCTCATCTGTATGGTGCAGTGTAATTTATTTTAGCATACTTTATCACTTACCGAATTATATTTCACGACACACGACGGAAGATTTTGTCAGTGGCTCAGTGCATGATAAACATACTTTATTCATTATTAATTCAAAGTAAACGAGTACTCCTCTAAATTTTGAAATTCATATAATTAAAGAGCTTACACGCATCTCCTTTTTGTTTCAACAGTATATATATATATATTACACAAATAAGGATTCCATCGTTTTAGCCCCAGGCATCACCAATTGGTCTTAGAAGGACAAAACAGCTATATGGTGCAGTGTCATTCATTTTTGTCATACTGTATATATTTCCGAATCATATACATTTGTAGGTACATTTCCATGTGTGTGCATGTTACGTTAATATTCCCTATGAAGGTAGAAAAGAAGAGAGATTTTTATTTGTGTATACTGAGCAAACAAGTGGTTACAAAATTTTGACCACAACAACCTCCGATTGTAAGGGTTCCATCCTCTGTTTTAAGTACTATATAGAAGTAGTGAACGATATATGACGTCATGCATATATACCCTGTTCAAGTCCATATAATGACATATAGATAGCAAATCCTTTAAAGCATGTTCATAGTCTTATTTTAGTGTGGAAGGCGTGCACCAGTTTTTTTTTTTTTTTTTTTTTTTTTTAAATGTTTAACTTATCCAAATATTAATGTAGATGATTCGCATTGCATTTCATGAATATTCACGTGATTAAAGGATAAGGCTCTACTCGGTGTTTTTTTTTATCCCATATCAACTGTATTTACATGTGATTTAAAGTACCGGCTGTTATGTACTTGTGATTTATTTGAACCTAGACTGTTACACAGTAGACTGCCTACAAGCAGTCTATATTATAATGTGTTCTTTATATCTTTGATTTCAGTATAAATAGTTTTAATCGTGTTATATAAAGTAGTAAAATGTCATGTACTGCAAAAGTCATGCTACAATGTACGAACTATAGTAATCATGTCTTGTACTTTATCAGTAATGTTATGTACTGTATTTGACATTTGGCAATAATCCTGTCATATACTGATTTAATCGTATTCTGCACTGTATCAATTGTGTTATGTACTCTATTATTTATGTCATGTTCTGTATTAAATGTGTTATGTACTGTATTAATTGTGTCATGTATTTGATTAATTGTGTCATGAACTGTAACAATTGTGTCATGTACTCTATTAATTGTGTCATGAACTGTATTATTTGTGTCATGTTCGGTATTAATTGTGTTATTTACTGCATTAATTGTGTCATGTACTCTATAAATTGTGTCATGTAGTCTATTAATTATGTCATGTTCTGTATTAATTGTGTCATGCACTGTATTATTTGTATCATGTTCGGTATTATTTATGTCATGAACTGTGTTAATTGTGTCATGTACTGTATTAGTTGTGTCATGTACTCTATTAATTGTGTCATGAACTGTATTATTTGTGTCATGTTCGGTATTACTTTTGTTATTTACTGTATTAATTGTGTCATGTACTCTATTAATTGTGTCATGTAGTCTTTTAATTATGTCATGGTCTGTATTAATTGGGTCATGCACTGTATTATTTGTGTCATGTTCGGTATTAGTTGTGTCATGTACTGTATTAATTGTATCATGTACTGTCTATTAGTTGTGACATGTACTCTATTAATTGTGTCATGAACTGTATTATTTGTGTCATGCTCGGTAGTAATTTTGTTATTTACTGTATTAATTGTGTCATGTACTCTATTAATTGTGTCATGTAGTCTATTAATTATGTCATGTTCTGTATTAATTGTGTCATGCACTGTATTATTTGTGTCCTGTTCGGTATTAGTTGTGCCATGTGCTGTATTAATTGTGTCATGTACTCTATTAATTGTGTCTTGTACTCTATTAAGTATGTCATGTTCTGTATTAATTTTGTCATGTTCTGTATTAATTGTGTCCTGTACTGTCTATGCATTGTTTTGAGCAAACGAAACTGTATTTAAATATTTGTAATTAGTTCTAATTGAGAAAAAACATCATCTAGACTATTTATATATGTAGCGAAAAAAAATGGATTTAGAGTTCCTCGTCATTTACGTTTTCTCTTATATTTGCTTTTTAACGCCTCATAACGATGCATATACTATTTTCCATAGTAACATCTATGCACATTGGTAATGTGTATATCTTCCCACGTTTACATTCAAAATATTCCAAGAAATATGTACACGTTTATTTTGATGAAGTGGGATGATTTGCCTCTGTGAACGGATAAGGATACATCTGCAGCTACGTACTGTACTTCCTGGTGTCCGTTTTGTTGAGATTAATCTCTATTGTTTTCCTGTCTATTCAGCAATGTTTCAGTTCAGTTAAAATATTGAATGTTGTCTATAGAATCTCCCGCCAAATTTGTTTCCATCATTATCAACTTACAGAGCGTTATTTAAGTCAGTATTACAAGGCTGTATTAGTAATTAAATGGGACAATAAACGTTTAGCTTCTGTTTTTGTAATGAAAATCAACGCTGAAATAATGGGCAGCTGTTGGTTTGAAATATCTAATGTAACAAACGAAAATCCGGTTCAGACAATAAGCTTTAATTATCTCTGTCTGAGCACAAAAAGATGAGTTCCACAGCTAACTACATTCATTCTAATGACCTGCATTTCATTTTGTTTCAAATATGCCATTTCCTGCAGGTCATTAGAACTATCAAGTAATCCTAAATTATTGACAGTTGCAAATAACTCTAATTCTAAAAACAAAAGAATCATGAATTCATTTCAAGTTATTTTATTTCATTTTGGCTTTTCTTTGTTGACAGTCTTGAAACACATATACATGTAAAATGTTACAATAATATATAGCGCCCTTCATGTGAAATGGAATTCAGGCAGGAAAACAATATCACACTGTAATATTTATGCACGATGTCTCGTTTAAGAAAGATAACCTTACCTTTTTATCTGATAACATTGTCATGGCAATCATCAGATCTCAGGTTTGATCATCATTACAAAAAACAACAACACTAGAAATGAAAGGATGGCCTCAGATCCGACATAATGTAAAACAAGACATAATGCAAGTTTTCACTAATTAATAATCTTTAGTTTTTAAAAATATATGTACAGACCCATATCAGTTTCATCTACCGAAATGACATTTTATATTCTCAGACTGAAAGCCGCGAAAAAACCCCACTTTTTACTGAATATGACCATTGAAAGCATTTACATAACAGGCTATTTTATTATAAATTATTTTGCTGTCTTCGTGTAAGTGACCTAAGAAGGAAATATTCTGAAAGATTTCAAGAAGTTTTTTTCACAATAAGATGATTAGGTGACCATCGTCAGAGAAAGAAAATGAAAAATGCACCTCGATAAATGATTGCTTCTTGTGTAATATTTCTCAAAATGATAGATATGACCTCAAAATCTCACTGTTAAGTAGAGTGATTTTCACAGTAATTAGCGACTTTGAATATTGATAAAGGTATTAAAAGTTTTAACGAAAAATGGTACCCAAACATAAAACAATAAGTGTATATCTTCTTTGTAACGTAATACATTATTTTTTAAAAAAATCATTAAGTGGAGAATATAAGCATCTTGAATCAGTTCCTAGGTAAGAAACCCTATTCATAATATCATTCAATAAATAAAGTAGTCATGTCAAATTAAGATTCGGAATGTTCTACATTGATAAAAACAACAAGAGCTGAATTCAAAGAGAATAATAATTGGAAATAATATCTATCACATATGAAACACCTTTATAAAGAGGACAGGTGTTATTTTCGACTTTTCAGATCAGTTAGGAAAATGATAAAAAAATCTGTCTAGAAAGAAATTCTAAGTAGAATATATACATAAATTTAGGACAACCCCAAAAAGAAAAGGTCCTTTGTTGTGTCATGGGGATACATATTGATAATTCAGCAAAGACACGAAATCAATAATAAGAAGCTTGTAAAATTATATTTGGATGAAAATATAAAAAATAACTTGTCAGAGTTGCGTCCTTTTATGTTGATCAGCAAAGAAATCGCTGCCTTTTTACTTTTTGCTTTTTCATTTACACTTTTTTCAATTTATGTTCCTGCTGAAGACATAATGTAAACAAATTATATTTTGTTCTTTTTTTCGAACTCAATTCATCAGCAGTAATTCGATTAATGCAAATTAGGTGAAAAGAAGTTATGCACGAAAAAAATCGAAAACCTCAATGTTTAAGCTTACAGTTTTAATTATCTCGACAAATTATATCCAAGAAAAGAAAAAAACAAAATGATAATAGGAAAAAAGATGCTATTATGATTTGCAAGTTAGCAATAAAAAGCAATTTATCCAATTTAAGCCAGAAATGATTTATACGTAGTTGTTTTAAATCTATTCATAAGGTCATAGTTAACTGCTCGAATATCGCAAAGACTGTCAAAGATGGGTGCATGTATTTCTCAAAGAAACAAAAATAAAACAAACATTATATTGCATATATATATATGAGCAAGTACTTATGTCATGGGCATGTGCATTTGGTTTGAAAATGTATACCAACCTTGCTTACGAACATAGAATAGCATATTCACAATTAAAATAATCAAGGAAAAGTATCTACAGTTTAATATGAGTGTTCAAAGATTAAGGATATTGAAAGCTGCAAAATTCATTTCTGTTGTACGTTGTTACGCTGCTTATCTGCAATTGCATTATAAGGTTCAGGTATATTTGACTTTATCTAGATTAACTTACGTGTAACAGAGCGACAACGGGCTATCTCAGTCGTGGGCTAAACGTCTGTAACATAATCCCTACAGAGGCGTAAGCCGAGGTTGAGATGTTACAGAATCTTAGCCCGCAGTTACAGGTAGTTGATCATTTTTCTCGCACCTCTTAGTTCGAACAAATATCCAATTTGGGACCACAAAATATATGGCCTTTCCACTGCTAAATCTACGTTTGAAGAATGCAGTCCGTACTTACCAAGGAAAAAACGTATTTCACAGTGTAAATTATATTTTATCTATAACATCAGGAATCTAACGAAAACAAAACAACACTGTAGCAGAAAACAGAAAATTTCAATCACAGTGTGAAAATTCTGCAAAATGTCGCTGAAAGGGGCCAAATACATGATGTAGATCGAACAGGTAGAACAATCTAGCACGGGATATCACGTCTGATATCCCTGTCTAAGGTGGGAGGAAGATATTCTTTGGATAAGTTACATTGACTAAATAAGGAATATAATGAAATTCCAAATGTATTTGAATATATATAAATTTTGGCATTTACTGTAATTTAAAACTTTGCAGTAATTACTATTACAACACCAAAATGTCTATCAAAAGATATACTAAGTGCTAAACGTTATCCATCTCTGATTCGCTAGACTCGTTTTCCTGTTTTATTTGAACTATCGGAGCATCAGTCTTTTGAATCACCTCGCTGTCATCTGACGTTGACGCAAATGGCGAACTGCTATCTCCCCTGTATGGAGGCGTACCCGTATTTCCAACCAGGTATTGATCAAACTCTTCGGGGTCCACATTGGCTAACGATTCATCTTCAGACATGTTTTGCAGAATAAACTGTTGATCGTTGATAGTATTCAGATAAGAAGACACATAGCTTCCTTCGTGGAACTGAGACGAGATTGGAACACCAGTATTTGCATACGACGACATCATTTGGGCATTGGTTGACATGTAAGGTTGCCAAGGGTTCATTGGGATATAAGGACTCTGTACCAACTGTCTTAGAGGACCGGGACTGTCGTGATAGCAAGAGTTGTTTGCCCCTGAATTGGGTGCTGGTATATTTATCCCACAAGATTCTGGATATTTCCCTTTACTTAAACTACGAAGACATTCGGAGTAAAACTGTTGTTCTGTGTTTGACTGAATTTGAGCTGAAGTATCTGCTATTGAAAATGAAAACTTACTTTCCTTGACCTCGACAGGAGAATGTTCTGGGGTCAGCGTAGGATACGAAAGCTGTTCATAAGTTTTGGAATGAAGGTCACGGCTGTATTTGTTGGAAGCACAGATTGACCGCGGTGGAGAAGAAGATGATGACGATTCGGGAGTATTTGGATTTTGAAGAATGCACTGCATATTTTCAGGGTCTTTACAATCCATTAGATACCCCCCGTACATATTTGTCACTGGCGAGTGACTGATGCTGCCAAGTGCACCTTTATTATAAATGTGTTTCTTATTGTGTTCGGTTAAACTGTTTCCTTCTGATGATTTGTCCAAAGCTTTGCGGAGAGCCTTTTTCGGATGTTTTCGACGCCTTGGTTTGTACTTGTAATCCGGGTGTTCCTGCATGTGTCGGACTCGTAGTCGTTCAGCCTCATCAATAAAGATTTTCTTTTCTTCTGTCGGCAAGCTTTTCCATTTTTTTCCTGTAAATAGAATTTATGACGTTTTTGAGATACATAATTTCATTTCTGTTAGTATTATAAAAGGTAATATACTACGATGACAACTCCATAGGTCGAAAATAACAAAGAATAAAAAACTAATAATATTATATTCTGAAAATATTTGATTATATTGAAAAAATGAAGTAACCCATGATGATAGCGATAATAACTTTTAGCAAAGAACAATTGAACAAATAAGCAAAACCTCATTTTCAAAAATTGCGACGTTCTATAAAGCTTCCAGTATTATTGCTAATATAGACATTCTTGTGTTTTATTAGTGTTGTCAAATAACTTTATAAAAGCCTGTTATTTATTAAATAAAACCTACACAATGACATAGTAACGTAAAAAAGCAGCGACTAGACTGATCTTTTAATGCATAACGTTAAATTGTAATGATTGTTGAATGACGTTGATGAGAATAAGCCGGATAAACTTGTACATTGTTCATTGAATCTAGATATGTCTCCTATAATGCATTGCTTGCTTATTCGCCATTTAACTTTAAAAAATCGCTGGATTAGCATAAGTGTCTGAACACTTTTTTTTTTTTTTTTTTTTTTTTTTAGGGCAGATTGGACTTCAGACAGTACATATTGAAAAATGAGTTTGAGGATGTTTGCCATTTAAAGAGACATTTCCTGTATGAAGACAACAAGTACATAAACGGAAACAGTGAAACTAACTACATGACACATGTACATATACAATTATGATGGTTTTATGTATGTAATAATATCATTCGTTATTAATAGCTTAAAGCAAACAACTGGCTGCCAGTAGCTTGTTTATATTGCCGTGTAAATATCAATTCGATGCAACCATTTCAACTGATTTCGGAATATATTTTAATGTTTATCAAGCTTTGGTTCGAAAGGTCCTCAATACACCGACTGCGTTAGAACCATTACTGATAGTAAAGTACTATATAATATTTTAATTTACATTGATATCACTACTATTGTTTTGAAATAGTATCTGATGCATTGTACAGTTTTACACAATAGTAATACCAACTAGTCTGTGGTTTGGTTAAGTATTACTTGATCCAGCCTTTAAAGATACACTCTTAATTGTTTGCTAGCATGTATTGTATCATACTTTAGTACGTTGTTAGTGTATCCTATATGTGTTACAAACACTAACCTCTAAGCTTTGATACACTTGTTAGTGTACAGTGTATATGTTACAAACACTAACCGATCCAAGCTTTGTTAAAGTTGTTAGTGTACAGTGTATATGTTACAAACACTAACCGATCCAAGCTTTGATAAGTTTGTTAGTGTACACTGTATATGTTACAAACACTAACCGATCCGAGCTTTGATAAGGTTGTTAGTGTACATTGTATATGTTACAAACACTAACCGATCCAAGATTCGATAAGTTTGGTAGTGTACACTGTATATGTTACAAACACTAACCGATCCAAGATTCGATAAGTTTGTTAGTGTACACTGTTAAAAGTACACATGATTTAAAAGTTGTAAGTGTGTGTGGTTAAACATGTTACAGATAATAACCGATACAAGTTTCAGTAAAGTGTTAGCTTTTTGGAAGTGAACGACGTGTTCATGCACTGTTTTATAATTCTCTTCTTTTCTCTCTTTATACAACACACTCTGGCCAAGACTTTGGCCGAAATTTAACAATATCTAAGATTCTCTTTAGTTGTCCGACACTAAGTAACCTTGACGTCTGGATTCGAACCCTCCCCTACAATACTAGCACACTTAAGTCCAGTGCTATCAAACGCTCTGAACCTCACGAACGACCCTGGATTGTTCAGTTATAATAAAAAGTACTTCTAGACTGGTAGTTTGTTGTTTATCGTGTATGCTCTGGGTAGTTTGTTGTTTATCGTGTATGCACTGGGTAGTTTGTTGTTTATCGTGTATGCACTGGGTACTTTGTAGTGTATCGTGTATGCCCTGATCATATCGCCTTTGACCCTTGATGTGTCAGACGTATATATATCACTGTTTATTTCAAGATATCAAGTATATAAATTCACCCACTTATCTCCCCGGAATTTATCACTCTCGTGTGCCCTAGCTTATCTTATCACTGTTATTTCATCCTATATCCGATATACCACCTAGGTATCAATATGATAATGTCTACTTTAGTCATGCAAATGTATGCATGGGATTTTCATATAATACAGAATCGATATTTTATCCATGTTGGTTTTCCTCTAGTTCGAACCTCCCCCTTTATCTGTGATTAAAAGAAATCAAATAGTGACGTGCTTTTTGTCCCTTTTTTAAGAAATAATGCGTGTAATACCCCGAACAAAATGTATGATATAATATGTTTCACGTCTTTATATATGGCGATGTAGACGAAAATTAGCAATTTATAGAATTAAATATCGTGGCAACATAGAGAAAAACAGATGTCAGTTTGGATTATCCTTTTAACATAACATTGCATGATAGTTTCAATGAACACTGCTTATAATATTTTTATGAACATTCAGCTTAGAGAGCGTTTAAAAACGATCCGTGATTGTTTCAAAAAACCCGCTTACAATGTTTTTAGTTCTCCATAGCAACTATTAGGGGGGATTGAATCAAGTTGCATCTTCATCACAATAACCCGTGATACATTAAAAATGTTTCCTAAAACCTGAATTATAATATATGGCCTACAATATTGGTATAAGCAAAGGTTAAAATATAGCATGCTGTTTCTTCATAATAATAACAATATGAAGAGATATATAAACACCATGTGTTTTTAAAATTTGTTATTATAGTCTCGTGGATCACAGCCTTGAACTTCAAACCTGTCACTGCCCATGAACAGATGCAACTTGCTAACGCACTCCAATTCGTGTAGCATTTTAATATATTTTCATATTTGAATAACCAAAATGTAGTAGGCAAAAATTATCACCATGATAAATTAATTCGTAACATATTAACTTTCAGTAAAAAGTTGCATTTTGATTAGATATATATTCATTTCTCGTGAATTGAAAATAAAAAAACTGAATTAAATCAATGTTGTTACGGTAAATATAGGTAACCACAGGAGCAAATAACAGAATTAACTTTGTAGAACGATCAGTATTTTCATCAAACACTTTGTATCGTATATAGTTCGTGTTGGTGCGATAACAGTTTCATAAGTTGTTTACGAGGAGGGGATGATTCTCTGTTAACGCGTGTCATAGCAACCACACCAATGAAAATCCGCATTGCTTACAATGTAACATTGGAGATAGCATCGGATCTTAAGAGACCATACAAGCTTTACCGGAAATCAACAGACTTCCTTAACAACGACCCTCTACATTAGAACCGTTGTGTATAGGTGAAGTGTATGTGTACAAATCTGAATACATGTTGAGAAAATTCATTTAGCCATGAATTGAGGTAGTTTTAACGCTGTCTGCATTTGCATTGAATACATCTGTGGTCTTTATAATGTCTTGGTCTAATAAAACACACGTGTGATATCAAGACTCCATACAACATCCAGTTGTGTCACGCTTCATTGTCTGATCAAATATTAAAATTGAATTTGAATTTAAAAAATGAATTTTGAAAAGCATGGATATGTATGTGTATATTGTCTGTGGGATCCTTGTGAATCTCAAGACATTAAGATTTAACGTGATTTATTTTAGATTTAAACAAAAATCCTTATATAATTTGTTCTGAGTGGTCTTATTATTCACACTTCCTATAAAATATCTTTATTCCAGTGGACTGTGGTTTTTCGTTTATACCTCCCTTTAATTTCTGTTTGGATATAACAGTTGGGCCAAGACACTGCCGTTGACCAAATAGCGCATTTGGCTAGAGCGATAGTATAACAATCTTAAATCTAGTGTTCGAATCCCGGTCTAGTCCAACTGAATTTTTTTCCGCTCAGAACACTTATGTTTATTTTATTTTGTTTATTTCGTCTATATCATTTCTCATCAAAAAAACGCAAGGTATGTTTCTTTTCAGAAACGATTTATCAAACCTATAATCCAACAATTAGTTACAGTTTTAGGCAGTGTTACGGGAATCATGCACGTGTTGAATGCAAAGTTTTAACATAACATTTTAAAGAGAGAAAACAGTAGAATTTTTTTCTCATGAATCCCTCTACATATAAGTTTGACTACTAATTATATTATAATTGTGTATATATATTATATTAACTTGTCGTTTTACTCGATGAGGCTTTCAACGCCTGTGTCATGTGTTTATTTTTGATCCAGTAGATATTTCAGAAAATATATAATGCATAAAGTTCTGGACTACCCCATACAGATATATCTGCAGGGTAACGAAGGTGTAAAACGTTTTATTATTAAACAGATCATTATTATCTATTTATTTACAATGAAAATTAATGAAAATTTACCTGTAGTATAATTATGTTAAAATTTCGTTTGATCAGTATGTGATCGAATGTCGCTGGCCAGCATACAGAGCACGTACAGTGAACTGTATACCCAGCTTGGTTCTAAAGTACACAGTACACAAACCGCAAGCCCATCTTAACATGACCACATTTTCACAAGTGGAAGGATTTAGTTCAATAGCTACGATAAAAGGATACTCAAACTTTGTGTTAAAGTCAGTTCATCTTTATCTCGTATATATATATTAAAAAAACAAATCTTTTTGTGTACTTCAAACTATATAATAATCAAGGGCCGCACCATGTTCAATAATTAGTTGATGTTACATTTAATTGTTATTACAGAATTTATGACTTTTTTAGGTTAAAATTACACATTTGCTATGCGTTTTTAAGCCAATTTGTATTTCCATCTGAATGTATATTCCGTATGCTTTCTTTTCAATAGTAATAGTTGTCCGGGTAACTTGTATGCGCTAACCCCATAATTCAGTATTGTTTAAATTTGATATTAATTTCTATTCAATATTGGTATGTATACAACTATGTCTTAATTGTATACATACCAATATTGAATAGGGGTTAAAATAAGATTTTGAGTAACGAATATTCATAATAAGTAAATTCGACTGTATATGTGCAATGTGTTTCCCAGCAATAGATTTATAATTTCTGTAGATAAATGGATAACACCTGACCAATCAATATAAATATATTAAACGTCATTTGACGTACCTAGAATCTTGCTCAGATCTGCATTGTGGACATCCGGGTTCTCGTGTGCCAGTCGCTTCCTTTCTGTCCTTGCCCATACCATGAAGGCATTCATGGGTCTTCGGATTCTCTGTTCTGGCTTTGGAATGTCGCCAGTAGAATCATACACCGCAGCGTTCATTTCACATGAAGACGGTTCACTGTTGTACATGCATTGATGATACCTGGGAAATATCCAGTCGAAACGTGGTTCCTTCTTCATTGTCTGAGGGGAGACGTTCCCATTTAACTTGATCATATCATATGTCGAATGTTCTGTTTGGGATGCATAATGTCCAGTTTCACACGAGGTGGGGACAGTATCCAGTGAAAGGTGTCCATCGTTGAAACACTTTGCATTGTAATTGGTCAGATTGACTGGACGTCCGGAAGCATTAGAGTGGACAGTTGGTGATCCTTCGGCCATTTCTGTATTTCTGTTACATCCTGTAGACAATAGGCTATGTACAAATCTCATTATTATATGACAAGTCCAGTTTACCAAGGTTGAATAATGAAGACAACTTTTTCACTATGTTGCCTGTTTCAGTAACAGTCATAATGGGAAATGACTGTATGCAGTGTAGGTTTATATTATTTGATATAACGTGTGATAACACAATTCACAGCGCATACGTACCCAGATAAGTGTCCCGGTAGACTCTGACAGCCAGCACCTCCCTCACGGCTATAACGGGGCGGAGCCTATGCTGAAATGATATATGCAAACGGCTATAATTTTACCACTTGTGTTTAAAACAGATTTTATTATGGGTCTGTCTGATATCAGTTTAATTCGAATGCATATACAGTGTGTACATATATCGCACATCGCCGACAGAGTGTTGATATTCGTTATCCAGCAGGACGATGTATGAAATAAAACATATTGCTGTTTCTTTGTTCCACTGTTGTGTCTACCAACACGTGTCATTAGGACGCATGTGTATATGTTAACTTTGCATTGTGTAGATTTGTTCAAGCCCCACTCAACGCGTGTCTAACTAATAAAGGACATGTAAACAAATGAAACATAAGCTAACACATTTCGTCAATGAGTATCGACTGCATTAATTGTTGTTCGATATATATCATCATACAGTAGATTTAGCAATTCAACACAACAATTTCAATTAATATTCTTGTTAAAATATTGGACTTACAGTACATGCTTTGTTTCGTCTAAATTGCCAACTGAACACTCTTTCATTTAGATAGATTATTGAACAGCCAAAAGTCAAACCGAAGTTTATGGATTCCCACAACGGAATAATGTAAAAGTGTGCTTACTGTATATATATATTCCCAAGTGAATTCTCAGTTCATGTATTCTATAAATACGGCTCCAAAAGTTCTATATAGACTATATAATATGTATTTTTTCCGATTTTTCTTGTTATTCTATCACGTCATCCTCGAAAGTCTAATGGTTACTCTCATGTACGTTCTCTGCACAGAGGGTATCCCCTGGAAATTCGGGGATTCTATCACGTGTCACGAAACAAGCCAAACCCGTATATTTTGCAAAAACATATACTATGAAAATGAGAGGAAATGTCACCATGCTACCTTTGACCTAAGCTCACGACGTTATCATGTTTTCAGTTTGACGTAAAATGGTTGATTTTACACAAATTACATATCAAAACATTATGTGATGGTGTTATTACATTGTCGGTGTATGTCGAATTGTAATATGTAATGTAAACAATCATAATTAGTTAACGTATTATTTCAGGCTACCTCGATCTCAGGTTTATTCTAGGCTTTGAGAGAGTTTTCTACCACATACCTGCCTTGGTTTGACAATAGAAATCCTGACGGATGCACCATTGGGTAGAGGAACCGCTTACGTTTCCGGAACACTTGATGGTGAATGTGGTGTATCTCCTCAATGCAGTAATAGTTAACAGTTCGTTTCTATTTTATCCTTCACCAATGGTCACTGTCAACGTATATTTGCAATATTAGTTTCCACATTAACCAAAAGGAAACATTTCAAGCTGCACCTTCCCCAACAGTGTTTATTTACAGAAACGTCCTGATGATGTACTGTTTAAACCGCTTTCACTGTACAGTGTGACTTGCGTATGCCATTTTATTTCCCCAATGAGTGATGGTTAGTCGTCTAACTCGTTTTTTATGAGCTTTTTCTAACAGACTTTAGTTTTCTTTTAACTTAATACTCAGAGAGAAATAAACAGTATACCGATCGTTGTGAGAAAGAGCTACGCTTTTTAAAAATGCTTGTTATTTTTCTAAAACAAATTAAAGACAGCAAATATTAGTGAGCTTACTCCTCTCTACAACCGTTACAGTTTTCTTGTTTATACTCTGCTGCACCATATGACTACGTATGTCAGGTGACACGACCTGCGTTAGCTACATGAACCATACGTTCACGACCATTGTTATATTCAAAATATTCATTCTTGTTTAAATAAGTTAGTAAAACATAGCTTAGCGTCAGTAAAACCTGTTCAAGTTCACCTTTATTAAGAGACATCTGAGCTAAAAGACTGCCTTATAAAGCATTGCATTAATTTCATTTTATCTGAAACAGTATTAAGAGAATATCTTAAATAATTTGGATTTCAAATATTCGGGCCCATAGCATCATTGCAGAGTCCTAGAATGACGAAACAGTTGTACGGTGCAGTGTAATTAATCTTTGACATGCTGTATATATAACCAAAGTTTAGAGTGCAGTCTCCTGTGTACGTCTAAGGTTCACCTTATAAGTTACCTCTTTATGTACTTCCATAAAGGTTCCAGTACATAAGGTCATCTCAATTAAAAAGCCAGAACTGGGAAATGAGAAAACACTGAAAAAAGTAAAGACGCTATTAGAAGTATCATGAGATGTAGATACTACTTTGGTTTAATTTACAATAATTCTAGTGATGAAGTATTACATGTAATTTTTGAAGTGAGAATGAAACGGTTTGAAATTAAACAATATAGCAAATACGCAACTTCATCATACAAACAATAATCTACTTCCTGTTGTAATTTTAAACTTCACCCAAATTCAAACTGTACAGGAAATTCAATCCCTAATCATTATAACCATCATTATATCCGGAGGTGATACATAGATTCGACGAATATGGCCCTGACTTATTGGAGAAACGTGTAATCTGGTATATTTTATTAACAGCCGTGTACGGTTAATGATACGTATTTTGATGCCATATGAACATACTTTGATTACAATTCACCATACTAAGGGTGATAAAACCAAGATCAGCAAGACGTTTATGTTAAAACATTATTCTCAAAGCAATGTACAATACACGACAAAACGTATCCATGAAAGTACCTAATTTAACAAACTCTCGTAGTTAGACGGGATTTATGAAAGAGAAACCCGTTAAGTAGTAAGGGATATACTGATGTAGCAACTCCAGACTTTACAGTGAGGATCTTAGATCATTGTGGAAATCATTCCTACTTACATGTGATAATACGTATTACTTCCGTTTACTAATCACGAATAGAAAGCAAGTACATAGGGTATGCCTATCAATGTGTATAAGGCAATCGGGATATTATATAAAAATAATCCTAGAAAAAACAGGTGACTGAACCTTTAATTTTTTGTGTATATATAGTTAGATTAAATTAATTACATTCAGCATACAGCTGTAGCGTCCCTCTATGACTTGTCGGGGGTGCAAGGGGCCAACAGGGTGGAATTCCAAACACATACGTCAACATTTGTTTTACATCTAATGATTGTGCATTTATATTTGAAATGGAAATAAAACCACCAGAAATATATCATACAGATGTTTTTATAAATCACTTGGTAGCTTTAAACTCTATGCATTCTAATTTCACCGGAGGCTGTCATGTGTAATTGGGGTAAACATGAAAAAGGCTAACAAAGGATGAATAAGGTTATTTCATATTTTTTAGAATCCACAAAATGAAACTTGAATCACATACAAGGATACAGTGTACAAATACACATATATTGAGTATATAACCTACAGTGACAAATATGTACAGGTATCTATGGTGCACTACCTACAGTAAACAAATGATATAATTCTATTAGATACAAGTTTCTTTGTAATGTCACCAACCGTAAACACTTGTATATATGTGTGTTGTGTTATATTGCAGCAAATAACAAGTATTTCCTTTGCAAGGCCACAAATGGAAGAAGCACTTCCAGTGCCTATTTTAAGTATCTAGATTGTTGATATATTGGTCAATACAGTATATATGCAGCGAGGGTTTCCCACAGGAACTATTTTATTCTAACTTGAGAAATGTTACGGACTTCATAATTTCCAATTATCGTATTTCTGTGTGTGTCATGATTTTAAACGTGTTTGTTGTTTTTATCGAATAAATCGAATAAAAAATAGTGTTTTGTGTAGCTGATACTCTAAAAGACGCAGCCTTACACTGATAGTCTAGACATAAACACTGGTAGTAAAACAATCGGATGAGTGGTTGCTAGATCAGAAGGTCTAGGCTGCACTATTACCCAAACTGTCTATAAACAATGAAAATATCCGGTGTTTGATAATTGATCTGTTCAGTGCTCTATTAAAAGTTTCTAGTTAACATGGCTTTTCTTGTACTGAAACTTAATAATGATCATCTTGATTTCCGAAATATGAACTTAACAAAACAAAAGAATAGGGACAAACTAACATACATCCACTATTCACATAGACTTTTTTGTACTAAAATTCTTGATTACATGGCCTGTGTTTTGTTTGCCACCTTATCTATCTACAATTATTTTAAAGTTTAACGTTCCCTGTTTTAGTTTTCTTAATCTCAGTATATCGAAAAAAGCTTTCTTAGCGCCTAGATGTTGCTGTTTTATTGTACATTACAGTACTCTAAGAAAGTATTATATATAAAAACCATATAGCAAACAACTACAGTGTATAGCATTTCAAAACAAAACGTTAGCATTGATAGTTTGATCACGGAGTACCTCATTTTCTGATTCTATTCGTTCTCGTTAAGACCTGTTATCCTTTAAATAGCATTACCTGCCAAATTGAAAAATAGTCGTGTTGTTAGAAATAAGTTGTAGAGTAGCCGGACTCTTACTTGACGGGTAGAGTAGTTTGTGATAGGGCTGTAAAGGTGTTACAGATTTATTACATTCAATTATATCCCATAAATAATCTCTGGATATTCCTATTTCATAAATCAATAACATGTAGCCCTAGTCGGTGGTGACATCGAGGTAATAACTTTTAAAGTTTAAACAAATTTAAAGTAAATATTGAAGGTAATGTGTTTAATTTATGTGTAACGGTTAGTTCATTGGTTTCCAGGGAGATGAGTCACCTAGATTTTGTTTCAGAGAAACGCGACGTCATTTTGAAGTGTTTTGTGCAAGTTGTCATCAGTGTATGTGATAGTTGCACGTGCACCTGTTCTATCGGAGCGGTACACAGTTACTAACGAGCTTATTCGGCCTCGTACTATAAACTAACCGCATGATAGTATTTCAACTTGTCTTTTGTGTATCCAAATGAAATAACAATACAACAACATTAAACAATGCTTGTCTGGCAATCTGCACCAGTCCTCTGTTAGGACCTCGATAACAAGTTGACCAAAAACATATGTCTTCCAGCAAACTTCACATTGTAATTAGGGTTAATTCTGAAAAATACCGCAGACTGAAGGAAAACTTGTCATTTTTAGATTATATTTAGTGTATCAATTTTGTTTTTATTATTCTTATACATTACAGATTCATGAGGGGATTAGGTAATTGTGTATGCAACTAAGGCCTTCAGCTAACACCATATCTGAGATGAAATATGTTGTCTTTTGCCGTTATAAATGCCACTACAAGCTTCCGGTATCGGCAATCGTGCCTCCTTTGTTTCCTTTGTTCAAGTTCATACCAGCGCTTTGGCCCCTAGCATCATTCATAGAGTCAAAGGAGGACGAAACAGTTGCGCAGTGAAGTGTACATATCATTCTTTTTTAGTATACAGTATCTATTACAAATGTAACCAGACTTTAAAGGTGCAATCAGATGCGTGTGTCTTACATTAGTGTTTTTAGACTTCGGCTTGATGATACCTTCACCAGGCTACAGAACGAACGATGTCAATGGCAATCGCTTAGGTACACTCAAATAGAAGGGACACAACTCGTGTAGGTTTGTATGTGACCCTATATTCGGTTATTGCTACCGACAGAATACGGGAATAATTGCGACAACGCATGACGTCACATGCGTGACGCTTAAGTCGACAAACTCTTCTCGTAGTTTCATTTATTTCTGTAATGGATGCCCGTTTTATATAGATACCGAATATTTATTTTTTCTTCTTTTTGAGAATAACTTTATTATGGACTTGACGCAAGTGTTGATATAACGGCATCGATAGTAGTAATCGTATTACACGCTCTAGACCCATGGCAGCTCGCCATAATTTATCTTCAAGGACTGCTCGGTCTTGCAATAATGCATTTCACATTGACTAGCACGTACCCCAAGATACGATTGTATATAAAAATAATGTGTATCCAATTCATAATTTATAATGGTTTTATTATAGTATCGTTTAAACGAAAGAATATAGTTCCCAACTATAAATGCAGTATTATTTAAACTTACTGAAAACTAATTATCAAAGGGTTTAATAGGCACATTTATCCCTACCCTGTATTCGTAATGGTCATATTGTGCAGCATAAAAATGTGGGTTTTTTATGCATGGGCATACTAAAACGTACGTTAAAACCTGTGTTTCCTTCTTCGTATTCCTAACTATTTTTCAACCACTGGCAACCCATTGGGTGTAAATATTACTCCTTTAGTGTGACCCCGCTGGCTTGACTCCTCTAACGAGATGTTACTTCTGAGAGCCGCGTATACAGCTCCAAAAGACTACAAATGCTTGATATATCTTCAAACATCGCATGTTCTTACACACACTTACTCGCTTGCACTTTTCTTCTGATACTTCTCCAGTTGGATGTGTGTGTATCATACATGTCCGTGTTCGTGTCATTTCTTTGTGTGTGTTTTCCTTGTTGTTGTGTTGCAGTTTGATTAAGTATGATGCCCCTCGCGACGGCTGCACATTAGGCCACCATTCCGCTTGTCTATCCAGCACCATCATTTTGCTTTTCATTTTCCAGAAGTATGCACCACCAATACCATGTTTACCGCCGATACAATATTAATCGGCCGGTTACATTGGTCTTCGAATGTTTCAACAATGTCCCGGAAGTCTCCCTGATGATATGTAGGAATTGACGATCCATTCGTCTCCCATCAACAGACGCGGTCAAGTCTTTGCCATCCTGCCTGCTCGAAGGCGACCGTAATGCGCATTTTGCAGCCTGAGCTACTGGAAGTGTGCCGTATATGGTTCCCTCCTGACATCGCCAAACTCCTTTAAAAGATCAATATTTGACTGCACAAATGGTGATAATATCCCTCTACACAGATCGTACTTTAGTAATTGTGATTTTTGTTTTGTTTCTCACGTGTTCCATTTAGGCATCTTCTGAATTAAGATAATAGAAATTAATCAAAGAGTTTGAACAAGCGTATTTTTCCCAACGGAACAGTAACGACTACGAATAGTCTTATCAGTTCGATGCACAATCAAAGAGTGTGAGTTTCCGTCCAATCGCTTCTCTGTGACTTGGATGGTTGGCACTTACGATGTCGCCAGCATAAATGAGGTCAGTTCAAAAGCCGCTTCAGGTATACTAACTAACGATTCCAATATGCAATATTCAATGAAAGAGTCAGCGATAGACTTTTGTTATATGAAACAAACACTCCGAATATGAAGGGATTTCGTTTTGCCTAAAATAAGCCCAATAGTCAAGAAAAAGATTGTTGTTAATGTTACAGATAACGACATTAATTCAATCAAATTACACTTTCTTGTTTCTTTGGTGATTTCAAGTATTTGGTAAACAGATTGCGGTTACTTTGTACAAAAATTGTATATAAATATAAAATACAAATGCATTAGTCTTTTTCAATCAAAAAATCTAGTAAAGAACAACAAAAAATGTCCTTTTCCTGATGAAATAATTCTTATGCACGATGTTGCTAAAAAATGTCTTATTATAGATTATCCATACAACTCACAACTTACCTAGCGGGGGAGGGGGTACCAGATGTCAAGTTGGCGCTGAATACACAATGGGAATATACTTTCCAAGTAAACCACATTTTGTGGAATGGACTCTTCGGGCAGCGTGCCACTGTCCACGAGTTCCTTTTGGAGTCGAATCACGGCCACTGCTCGTCTGATATAGTTGTCGGCAGTCCTTTGGCAAGAACCGGGTGGCTTCCATGAATATTCCCTCTCAGCCTGACACGGGTAGGTCCCGCAGTGACGACAGCGAATGAGGGCTGAAAAAGTGCTGATTCCTGGTCAGGAGGAATAGAATATCATACGTTCAAGTACATATATTCACTGTATATACGATCATGAAAACATCAAACGAACGAATCGAATATCAATGAAATATTTACATCTATGAAGCCACTTACTTTCTATTAAAACTGCCAATTTTAGAAGCCTCGACATCGCCCTCGGCCATCTCTTCCACAGTTTCTTGTCGACAGATGGCAGTATCAACATAGCAACGATGTATAAAACAGTGGTGGTATATTCGACACAGATCCACTAAATAAAATCGACAGACAAAAACAAAACAAGTAACATCCCGACATAAGTAAAGGTATAATTCCGCTGATATTTAGAGGCATTATTGACACTCATTTATTGTCATGATGTATTGAAGGCGAATGTATAGCATACCAGCAGTGGAACAGAAAGCCATCCAATTTTACATTGAAAATCCGAGGGTTGAAAGGCATTATATTGCCTCGACGTGAACCATATATATACACATTATACATCAACAACCATGTCAAAATGCTAGGTAATCGACAATTTGCAACTTCATATAATTGGTCCAAACTAAGACCAAGACGGCTTTGTTATTGTTTATTTGCTTTTGTTTTATTCATTATATTTAGAAGTTTCTTTGGTTGGCAGTATTAATTGCAACTTTGTAACTTTTTTTATCCTGGAAAATGCGTAACTTTGTAATGCTTTAAATCTTTTAAATATTGAAATATTACCTGAAATCAGCGGGAACAGATTTGGACACATTTACAAATTTCTGGATGAGCTATACATGCCAGCTCAATTATGATTACTACCAGACATATATGTACATATAGTATATCGTATGAGACTTGCTCTTATCAGAAAGGGGTGAACCGATTCAAGCTGATACCAATTAATTATGAATAATAAACAGAATGTGCAGAGTATGATTGAATTTAAACTGGTAATGGGTGAGCTTACATGAACGATGTCCTGTGACGACGGACATACTTTTGGAACCTCCGATGAGGAGAGGTAGCTGTATAATTGTTGTACGTATCCTTGTGCGGGTTCCGTGCTTTGAAATAAGAAATCTATACATTCTGACATGAGCGTAATGTTATCTTATTTGATATTGTCAACCGTTAATTTACACAAAAAAACAAATGTCGATTTTGATCGCAAGTGCTGACCCTTGTCTTCGTATCTTATGGAAAGAAAATAAGATGGATATTCACATTTGCCGTCAAAATCTAAGCTATATAAGGTGATACGTGATACAGTTTAATATACAAGAAATTAATTTTATTTTATGTTGTATTTTTAATCAAAGCTTAGTTGGTGAATATGTTCACGGTCACTGAATTTCTCTATCCAAAGACCCGAAGTAAGAAATGAAACATATACAACAGTAAACTGGTAACTCACCATGTATGGTATTTGTAAAGATAAGGCAGAAGTCGCAGTCCGCAAACAGCAAACAGACACAAAAATATTACCGCCCAGTGCATCGTAAAACATCAGAAATTACACAAAACAGAAAATACTTTGGGGATTAATCATATCCGCCTTCGACAATTGCTAAGCAGCCTAGCAACAATATCATGACGTCACAATAGTCAAAGACGTCACAATATAACAAATGTTTTTTTATGGCGTCACGTCATGTGTAACTGGTCCAACCAACTCTTTAAGAGAGCTTAATCAAGGTGGGGTCCAAAGGTGAGGCCCAAGATGGGAGTATGCGAGGCGATGCAACCCCCATCCTTCTCCCAACGGGAGGGGGGGCAGAACCTGTATGACAATAAGCATGAAAATAAATATCCAGGGGTCGTTAGTGCAACTGCCAGATCGCCCAACCCCATCCCCATCGACTTGCCTTGACCATAATTGTCTACATGAATGATCAAAATACTATAGGGGTCCCTGCGGTTTCAGAAACGGAAGATGGCGGGACGGTATGATATATTGTACCATATCTCCATACCGTACCGGTACCAGACTAAGGCTAAGGACTGGTGGGTGTGTTGAAATAGGAAATGACAGATGGTATGGTGTCATGGAATTTATTTTGTTAGTGAAAAACAAACAACGACAAGTTTTTGAATGAAAGCCGAATTTAAACTATGATATTATTGACACAGTTTTGGGGCCGACGATATGTATCAACACAATCGTTTATCTATCGTTTTATTTGGTGCGTGTTCCTCAAGAGGATCCACTCTTATTGTGCCTCTTGTCTACAGCGCGTGGCACCGACAGTAACCACTTGTCTGACGGATAAGTACTTTTATCTGTCGCCCAACTGCACCCAACGGTGCAGTGCTGATACTACGGAGGTAGAAAAAATACACAGGTTTTCGACAAAGGTTAATGCTTCACAAGGGAGAGAAGCCTCGTAATAAAAGGTTCCAGCCTCGATATACATATAGTTTCATCTTGATAGGTGTATCGAAGCGAAACTCTTGGTTATTGAAGATGCTTATGCATGTTATGATATTTTCATAGATATTTACCTCATATAAATGTCATGACTCGACCGCTGGCACCATCTTTGTTGAAATGGTAACATTAGGTGCATAAGACCCTTTTTGGAAGTACGCTACACTTTCACCTCATTTGAATAACGCTGTGTTTAACTTAATATCCCTGTCTCTATGGCATCCGGACTGCATTCACGTGAAAGATCTTTTATTTAACTATCGATAGTTGGAACGGTCTTCCCGAATGTGTCATAAATTCTACAACTACATGTATAAGAGACTTCGAAATCAATCTAGACAAACATTGGAAATTCTAGAGCTTAAAAACAAGCATTTTGGCTAGTTAAAAATAGATATCCGGAAGACAAATAATATTATACATGTACATTGTAGGGTTATAAGATACGGAGGCATCCAGTGCCTGCGTCCATTACATTTCCTATTAGATCCTATTAATTTTTCATTAATGCATAAAATACTTACTTTTTGGTTTGAAATCAGTATAACCATTGTCAAACGCCTGTGGTACCTTATGCACACCGTGCAAATGAGGAAGTGTTAGCGGTAAGACATTAGCTCTCATCGCCGGAAATAAATGGGCCCTCCCTGAATGTTATAGTGTCTTTTCTTTCTCTGCTGAGTATGTAAACATTGGAGATGTCGCTTGAAGATCATTTTACCTCCAAGTCGTTGAGTGTATCAACAAGAAACTTAAGTAAGTGTATGGCACGTTCTAGGACGTATACGTACGTGACAGGATCATAGTTATAATGTCCGCATTTCAAAACTTGTTTCTTGGTAGGAACGAACAAAAGAGCAGGGCTGGGGAAAATCTTCTAATGACTGATTCATTCTCCATTGAGTTCATGTGTGTAAAGTCAGATTTAGGAAGCATTTCCCTTAATGGGTCTTGCACCTCTATCCTTACAATTCACCATACGCTACCTCGCGATTAAAGTGTGTTATTATTTCACTACGGTAGAATCGGTACGGGTAATTCCTTACATCCGGATTATTCTGTACGTACACACGTAGAAACAAACTCCCAGTGTCCACATTACTTGTTCTGTCACTTTTGATTAATTTGAGTCGTACCCATCGCTGATTGGATAAAAGTGTCCGACCCCGTGAAGTTGAAATCCCGATTCTGACACAAGCATGGATTGACTTTACATTACGCACTGCTGAGTTGCGCGTAAATTTACGGTGTAATTACTGAGCTTCTGATTATTTCAAACGGTTAACCTTCAAAATATTGTATTGTAACTTTAAATGTCAGTGGTTGAGAACTAATTTCCCACAAAGTTTGCATCAACTTACAAAAGCACATTACGTTTTTGTTTTGTTTTTGTTTTTAGAGTTATCATATCGTCACTACTAGAACATCAAGATGCACAAGCGATATATATAATCAAAATGATGACGTTGGTCCCCTGTGCCATGTCATCCTCGAAATTCTAGGGGTAAGGCGCTGAAGAGAAAGTAACCACGGGAATTGTCAGTCGATTTATTGGTTTGTGGTAGCTTGGTAATTACATAATACATCGTCAGCTTATTCATTTCAATATCTACCGAAAGCAAAATAAAGTGCAGAAGAAAAATCGAATACAGCTTCAATCTGGTTTCCATAAAATTAATGCTCAATTTTTTAAAAGCGTTTGAGAAAATATTTTCTACTTATGATAAAACAATCATATGTATTTTAATTACAAGAAGGTGCACTGCACTGTCAGTATGAATAATTCATATAATACGATCCATCCTATTGAAACTATGGATAGGTATACCAGGGATGTGTAGTGCCCACTACAAATCCCTGGGTATACGTAGTGTCAGACAAATATCGAGACACTTTGATACTATGGTTGAATTGAATTGAAGATTCGTATGTTATTCAGTTGTATTTTTATTTAAGTTACACACCAACTGAGCATTTATGATTCACGTTTTTACTGTTCCGGAATGGGAGTTACCTCCCGTTGAACGATCATTCCTGCAGATAACACACTGCATACTGCAATATTTTGAAAGTTTCGTTGCCATGAAAAATTCGTTCAGTTTGAAGCAAAATCATAGATATACACAAAATATCTCAGGCGTATAATCTCATGCATGAAAGGTATGCAGTTTTGGGATTTATTTCCTGTTCGGATTTAATATCATGCCATTTTCTATTTTAGATACTAATTATAAACTTCCGGTTAAGTTTCATCTTTCTTATTTCCATCGGTCGTCTTACATAAACGTTCATCATGCCGATGTCACGGAAGCGTGCTTATGTGGAAATCGCAAAGGTATATATTCTACTTTATGATCACGTTGCTTTTCATTGACCTTGAACATTTCTACGCTAGCGTAAGAGAACGGTACGTAACTGTATTCACCATACATTTGTATGTCCCGGTCACCCTAATGAGTGTCCTGGGAGGGTTTTTTTCCTCTGATTCATAAATATTGTTCACTTACCTAGGCGTGTGCAAAATTTAAGTTCGATCATAACAGTAAAAAGCACTGAAATACGTCGATAAAGATGCCTATTTGGGAAGAATGAGTGTCCTGGGAGGTTTGTGGGCGCCCGGGAGCTCGAGTTTGTTATTAGATTTTTTACACTTTTTTTCTTCTAATTCATAAATAATGTTCACTTACCTAGGTGATCTTCATGTCAACTGCCATCTTGGATAAGGTCGTTCATGTCAACTGCCATCTTGGATAAGGTCGTCAGTAAATTTATAGAAGTTTAAGTCACTTGCTTTGTGCCTGATTTGACCAAGTATTATATTAAGATTCCTAGGATTGCACTGTTTAATGATCAAAGATTATAGATCTTATACATTAGAATTAATTTATGTTTATGACGTCTTAAATTTAAAGTTTCCATGTTTAACTCGAGATATAATTTTTCGATGAAATGTCGCACTTCTAAAACCCAATATATAATGTTCATAGCTTCAATTTGAACAGATTCAAGCATATTAGATTCTCCAATGGTACAGTCATTCCAGATAACATCACCATACCAAAGCACAGATCTTATATAAGAATATAATAGCGTTTCCAATGATTTTCTATCGATCTTATATGTTTAAGCATTCTCAATATGTTGAGTCTAAAACAAGTTTTACTAAAAATAACATGAATATGATCCCCCATTTACCTTTAGAATTCAAAAGTAACCCTAAATGTTTATGACTTATTTCATCAGATAATAATTTATTATTAAAGATGAGAGGGGCATGCTTTCTATTCCTTCTAGACACTGTAAACCGTATATATATACGTATTGAGATTGGAGGGAGAACATATTAAATTATTATATATGTCAGTAAATATTAACAATATAATTGTAAATCATTTATTACGATTAGTCATGTCATTGCAAGGGAATTTTCCTAGACTATCTTTAATTTGTTTGGTCATTTTTTCGTAAGAACATCAATATTCTTCTTTTGGTACAACAACCAAAGAAACAATTCATCCTCTGTATGTCAATAAATGTATAAAATTTAGTGATTCATTTGTCATCACAAGCTATTTAATCAGTGTAAAACAGAATGTTAATAGAAAGCTTACCCAAACAAGAGGCCCATGGTCACCTAATATATAAATTTATACAGAGAGTTGATTTTGTTTTTAACACGAACAGAAATATTATTCAAAGTGACAAAAAACAATAAAACCACCTTATTCAATATCTAGCATACAGATTTATGACTAAAAATTATTTGAAACTAGCACATCTGATTCTAAACAGGGAAAATGAAGAAACTTTAGCACACTGACTCTTTGGGCCCCACCCTACAGCCCTTGGGGGTAATTAAGGCTGGCTCAAAATTATCAAAGTATCAAACTGTCAACTCAGGGTTATAATTCCAATCAAGTTATTAACATGTGATATTGAAAGTATCATTTGCCATTATAAACCATAATAAATTTTGCCCCCCTCCTTCCCCAGGGGGTAAACATAAGACCCTTGCATCTATGAAGAGTGTTGGATTCTACCTTATCTGGGTCTTTGAGAAGAAGATTTTTGAAATTCAGCCAATTCAACCCTTTTTGGCCCCACCCATCAGCCCTGGGGGTTCAGTCAGGGCTCATATGTGCATACCATCAAACTGCTA